AGGAGTGAGGACAGCCGATGTTGTCTGAGGAAAGTGTTCAGAAGACCACTAGACCCAGGATAGAGGCCCAGGAAACATGAGCAGGGTAGAAAAAACAGGGTGGACCAGAACCAGGGACTAAAAGTGGGGAGAGGGAAAGCTGAAAAAGAAAAGCTACGCGGAAAAAGGAGTCTTGGATTGTCAGATGCCTCTTAAAAGTATGTACAACAACAAGAGCCCTGACAGAAGCAGTTTCAGTGGAGTGGCTTGGGCAGAAGCCAAACTCCAGTGAGATGAGGGATGAGTAAGAGGTGATAAAGTGGTGACAGCTAGCACAGTACAGGCAACTTTTTTGAGACTGGCGCGTGAGTCTTCAGTGTGTTCCACCAGTGCTTAATCCAAATATAGTGGCATGCTTGAATCCAACAGTTGCAACTATTTGGAAAGCAACTTGGAACATGTAACAAAACGTTAATATAAACACTGTGGTATACATTACATAATATAAATTCACAGGAAAAAAACTTTATGTCCTAAGATAACCATAATCCTTAACATAAAAACAACCAAAGAGCCCTCAAAAATGCAGTTAGTCCCTATTGCTGGGACAAATACCCAATACCCAAAAGGAAGGAAGGAAAGGTTTATTTAGCTCATAGTTACTGGGGGCTTCAGTCCATATTCAGCTGGCTCCAAGGCAGAGAACAACCTTTCATGAGGGGGGCAAATAGCAAGAGCACAAAAGGAGGAGTAGTGGTGGCTGGAGCAGCTAGCTTCTCTTTCCTCCTTACATTGAAATGCTAATTACCTGACCCAAGGCAGGTGCAGCATCCACACACACACACACCCATCCACACCCACAGTAATCACAGTCCAGAAGCCAAACTCTAGAAGCCGCCCCAAAACTACATGAGACTTTGGGGGGACAAGTATACACAAACCATAGCAGTCCCCTTGTAACAGAGTGTCTGGCCATCCACTAGCATGTAGACGGTGCTCAGAAATCTTAGCTGTGTGGGCTGACCCTGTAACTTTAGTTTTAAGAATACAAAGATGATGGCACATCACTTTCGAGATTAGGACACAATAGGACTCTGGCTCCCCTCTTAGCACACCCTGTCACTCTCTCACTCACACTGTGCAGGAAGCCAGCAGCCATGCTATGGGCTGCCCTGGAGAGGGACATGCCCAACCAGCAACCAGTGAGCACCTGTAGAGTCCTCCCAGGCAAGCCTGCAGATGACTGAGACCCAACTGACCTCTGGACTGCAGCCTCCTGAAAGACACAGAGCCTGGGACACCCAGCTAAGCCATGTCCTGATTCCTCACCCACAGATCCTGTAAAACAATGAAAAGTTGTTATTGAATGGGGAGAGGACAGTATTTGCCCAAGCAGTAGCTTCAAACAAGGAACACATCTGACAGAGTGCCTGCAGCTGGTCTCGCTGCTTGATAGCTTCTGACAGCAGTCATCTTTACCAACCACCCAGACCGGAAGGGCAGATCTCTGGGCATAGCAGCTGGACTTGGGCATTCATGTGGCTTCTGTTGTGCTGGATTAAGCAGGGAGGGGAGTGGAACAGCAGTGTGTAGGCACACGATGGTGGACTCGGGCTAAGATTCCTTTGATCTCTCTACCCCACTCTACCTACTGTAACATGCTGGACCCCAGGAGTTATCAGTCAGTCATCCTGAGGAATGGGACTTTCCTTTTTAGGGAAGTTTCATTTATTGATGACCACTGGTGGTTTTGCAGAAGATAAGAACTTAAAAGTCATAGTGTGAACTTGTCA